CAGGTATGGAACCTCTCTTGAAATTGAGTTCTTTCGTGATTCTATGGCAAGCGCAGGGTAAATGCTGGAGTTTACCGTGCATTCCGCAACGCGAGCGTAGCGAACAAATCCTACACAACGATATGAACGCACTCTCACGCGACGAAATCGCATCTTGAAGAAGAATGAATTGAATTCAGAAGGTGTAGATGGGCATGATAAATAATATGAACAAGGAGACGTCGCTAACGGTGGGAAATGAGGGAGCATTAGGGCGGTATGGCAGGAAGTGCTTTAGCCGAGTCAGGTGTAGGAAGCGTCCAAGCAGAAACAACGACCCGTGCATTTGCCTTCAAAGCAGACACAAAAAGTAAAGAGATGTTGACGAGAAGTAGATCAAAATTTTATTAATTACATGATAATGAGTGGAACATTGCCGTTTTCTCTCTAACTCAACCTCGATATCCAATTTTAACGTCTCTTCATCATTTTTACCTTATTCAGTAGCGGTGACAAGCAAAAGAGCTTTCTTTTTGTCATCACATTTTTCGTCGCTTTTCTTAGGTTCCTTTATCTCTCTTCTTTTTTCATCCGAGAGGGTTTCCGCTGACGGCACAGAGCTTTCGCCTGACTTCTTTGGATTCTCTTTTGAAGTCCGCGGAATTTCATCTGAGGCCTTGAGTGTTTTGCCGAATACCCTCAGAATTTCTGCCGAAATCTTTTCCGTTTCGTCCGAATTCTTGGCTATTTCGCCTGAGGTTTTGAGTGTTTCGCCGGAAACTCTAAAGATTTCTCCTGAGGAGCTTGGCGTTCCACTTGATGCCTTAGCAGTTTCATTCGATTTTTTCGTAATCTCAGGCAGTACTGCTGCTTTAACCGACTTTTTTACTAGAGCAGTGTGGATAACAGCATCCTTCCCTTCTTTCCCAAACACTTCATTGCTCTTACGGTGTTTCTCGTCCGATTTCTGTAACAACCATTTGTACTCAAAAGATCACCAAAATAATCAAGTAAACCTCTTCCAGTGCTGGTATTTTGAGAACATTCCTTTTATCGTCAATCTTATCATGCTTTAATCCTCCTCCTTTCTTCAAATATCTTATCGATAAGTCTCAACGTGTGCGCAAGAATGTAATGATCAAACCTTGCTTTTTTCGTCCTTATCACTCCAATCGCTCTTAATATCATCAAGTGTTGGATACGCATGTCGTCCTGCTTGTAAACCGCCCTTTATCAATGCCTTAACGGAACCTGATCATTCAGGTTTTATTTCTGACATAAATGTAATTCAAGTAAAAATCACCTCTTTCTCATTCAACTCAATTTTTCTTGGTTTGAAAGTGGCATAATACCTCCGCTGTGGGAGCTCCACTTTTGGCGTCTTTGCTTGCTGTAAGTGCTATGGGTAATAACATCTTCTATCCCTTGAATTTTCAACAATCTTACCGATTTACCAGATTTCACTTGTTTCCTTGCACAAAATGAAATTCCTATTGAAATCACAATTTCTACGTATATTAGAACGAGTATGTTTTGTAACATTGCATCCATTGCTACCTGAAAGATGCACAACCCATCGCTAAACTCTGCAATATTGCAGAAAGTACCTTTAAAAGTTGGAAAC